AAACCTCTTTTCTTTCTGAATTTCTGAAAGTGCAAAGTAAAATTGAACGTATTTCTGAGAATCAGTGGGCAAAACATAAGCCAATGTAAAGCTTTGAGAAGAACTTATTTTTACTGTTAAGTTAGAAAAAAAAAAATAATTTAAAAACCCACCGTGACTATTATGCCTGATTTGGTGAGATTGATCCACTTTGCAGTGCATTTGTACAGCTGAATGACTTGTGCTGTTTTGCACGAATATCCTTGATTTACTTGAGGTTGCTTGGGTTTTTTTGGTTGAAATAGGAGCCCTACTGGTAATCGTTACTTCTACGTGTTTCAACATAGCTGAAGAAAAGTAGGAAGTCCCTCAAGCTTACTTTCCTTTTTGTTTTTGTTTCTTGTCCTACCCTTTTTTTTTCCCAACTGTGCATGGTGTGGGTGCTGGTTGTAACACATGGCAACCACGCATCGTTTGTGTATTGTTTAATCAAGCGTTAACACTGCAGCCTCTGCACACGTGTTACTGATAGAATACTGCCCTCTGATACAGGAGATCCAGAGTCAGTCCTCTGGCAGCCCTACCAGAATGATCCCATCATTTGGGATGGGTTTGTTTTCCCAACAGACTTGATTTGTTCACCTGTGGCATTCAAGTTTGCATTTGTCTCATGCTTTATCCTACTTGAACGTAGTAATTAAAACATCGTGTCCAAAATTGCCTTGATTCTTCAAGTAAAACCTTGTAGATGAGCAATACTTCGAGCCTGAGGCAAATCTGCAAAATGACATTTTGGGCTGCAAGTACTGTGCTGTTGCCTCTCTGTTGAGAATTTTGTTTTAGCAGTGCGCTGTGCTTTGCCCTTGAGGTGCACGGAGTTCTTTCAACATCCTCAGGAAGGCTTGGGCTCTTTTAAAATGTGGAAAATCCTCTCAGCTCTGTGGGAATACATGATTAGGGGTGCGTTAAGTGGTAAGAGAAGAACAAATCAGTATTTTCTTGTCTCATTTGTTTGTTGAGGATTGTGGCTACCTCTGCAAAGTCTCCACATGATTTGAGGTCGACACAAGCGTGTACTGACGTGAGGCTGAAAATCCTGCTATTTGTTGCTTAAAACATGAAGGCTTGTTTTGCCAACTTCTGAGAAGAAATACCTCTAAGTGTCTGGATAGTGATGACAAAAATGAACAGCAGGTTACCATTAATCTGCTGCCTCACTGTTTTAGTGCAGAGCTAGAGCAACAGCCCTGCTTGTGTTCTTGTCTTCTGGTTTGATGACAAAGAAATAGGAGCAGTAGTTGTCAGGATAGAGTCCAGCCTGCTCAAAGGAAGCAGCTTTCTTCCTGGGTTTTAGAAGGATACTATGCAAGTGAAACTTGGGGAAAAAAAAATCCTTTAAAATAGTTAGTCACTTTTAGAATTGAGTATTAATTAAAGTGAAGTGCCTCGTCTTGAAAGGGAAACAGTGTGAGAACTCATGGATCTCCTTGTAGCGGTCAGAGATACGCACACTTCTCACTTTTATTTGCCCCGGTAGTGCAGAATGAACACTAATGCAGCTGCTTGCATAGAACATTGTGTGAAAAGGCATTCAGGTTAACAGAAATGTTGCATCCATGATGGGAGTGCTGTTGTAGTAAGTTTGATTGCCATTGCTAAGTGCTGATGTGCTGTCTGCTTTGACAGCTGGCTAATATCCACCTGTGCCATAGTGATCATTTCTTAAATATCCTTAGGACTCACTAGGAACACGTGGATTAGGGGTTGGGTGGGGAAATGCATGCCACTAATGCTCCTCTGATTGACTTTAACATCCTTTCTCACGCTGTGTGAATGCAGGGATCTGTCGAATTAGAGGATGCTATTTTTATCAGTGCGTTCAGCACGGTATCAATATTTCTCTCACTGTTTGTCCTTTATCCCTTATATGTTAAAAGTTTGTCCTTTATACTTTATATGTTGAGATTTGACTTTGACACTATCCTTTGAAACTCTTCAGAAGCTGCCAAATAAGGATTCTATGCTGTGTGCCCATTTGTACTGTAAAGAAAGCAGTGAACTGCCTTTGAATTAAATGGGATTTTCAGATCTGTCCATTGTTTTAAGAAAAAAGCGATTTTTGGATTGTCTTAAGTGCAAGGATCTGCCTCGTGAAAGCAGAACTGGTTTGTATTGTAACAAGTGCTCTTTCAATAAACTATGAAATACTCTTGTAAGTGTCAGACTTGTCTCAGTAAAATGGAAATGAAACTTGCAGGCTTGGCCTGATTTTTATGTCTTGTCTTGGGGTTGGTTTTGTTCCAGCTCAGTTAAATTCAAGGTTTCCTTTATTGTTCCTCAATCTGATTCTTGTAAATCCGTCCACCTTGAAGTTTCTGCTGTAAACTTGTGAGGAAAGAGCTTACGAAGATTTGCATCTACTGTTGCAGTTTATACACGTAAAGAACAATGGCAGTGCAAGCAGTTACAAGTCATGCTGCTCTTCATGCAGTCCCACTGCAGCATTTTATGCGCTGTTTGTCCAAATCCTGGAAGAAAATGCAGAGCTGGCTATTTGAAATGGGCTTTTTTGTGTACCTCAGTTATGGGAGGGATTTGAATACATCCCAGTACCTCTGCAGACACCTCCTGGGTCCGGAGCATCCCAGCTGATGCAAGGTTCTGATTTAAAAGCTGGTCTGGTCTGATTCTTACAGCTTTGGCCTAGTCTGAGCGCAGGGGATTTTCTGTTGGTACTGACAATAACGTGTGTATAATCACTGATCAGATCTGGAAAACCTGCTCTGGAGAGCTCAGTGTCAGCAGAGCAAACCAGCCCTTTTTACAGCCTGTGCACCTTCTATAAGCAAACCAACCTGAAATTCACCCTCCTTCTGTTGCTCAGGACCAATTACTTTAAGCACTGCCATTATATCAAGTGCTAGGAGGCAACCAGAGTGCTGTTCTTCTGCTTAGATAAGTGGCACCCATTTCTTACTTACGTGGTAGGAAAATAAACTTCAGTTCTGCTTAGTTCTAAAAGTAATGGGTATTTTGTTAGTGTGGAGATGTTTAAAAAATAATAAATTTTCAAGTATTTAGATGTTTAAATGTACAAACGATGCATTTGCTTGGTTCAGAAGTCTGAAAGTAAAGATGAGAAGCAAGCCTGGTTTTGAATGAATGAATGCAGCAGGTTTGTTTTCTCATTCTGAAAGGAGTGTTTCACAATGGAACTCCTTTTATCTTGCTTGAAATGTGGCATTATCTACATGAATGGTGGGGGGGAAAAAGACCAAAGAGGATGGCTTTGTGTTAACGAACTTTTATGAATACTATGTGTACTTCAGAGCTATGGATACATCTGAAGCAAGTCCACCAAGTGTGGAGTAGCTTTATGGTGAACTGTTGAGAATTTCAGAAGTAACGTCAAAATAAGGACTTCTTCCATTCAGTGTCTGCTTCTCTGCTGGGCCACAACTTGTGTGTGTTTGCACACTTGGGAGGGACTGCAGTAGCTATGGGTGCAGAAGGAGGCGCATGACAGTAGGGTGTCATACAGAGGCTGTTTGTCTTTAATAGTTTGGTTTCCTCTTCTTGAAGCCATGGGGTGTGTAGGATCTTCACTAATTGAAGTTTGACACTTCCAGCGTGTTCTAAGAGCGCAGCTACCGTTTATTAATGGCACCTCCAGGAAATATCACTGAAAAGAACACCTTTAAGATCCATCTTCTTTCGGAATACTCCCCAAAGGTTTTTGTCTGATACTTTGTCACAATGTGATCCCACCAAATTTAACAGTATTGAATATTTTTCTTGCTGTGGGAGAACAAAGTAATGAAACTGTTCAAGTGGGAGATGTCAGCAGAATGGGAGGAGAGCGCAAAGCTTTCCCTCTGTAGCTGTCAGTCTTTAAAACTGCATCACTGCAAGCATTGCATTGGGAAGAGTTTACGGACTTTGGACTGTGGAAGAGAGGTGGGAATAAGAGATGAGTGATGGCAAGAATTCTCCTTAGTAACTCTGTAATGCTCCTATTGAGTTGTTGGATGTTTGCCCCCTTACTCTTGTAGAAAAACCTTAAGGAGTGGATTTACCTTGTAACACATGCCAAAGGGTTAACTTGAAAACCATGAGGCAGGCTCTGGGGTCAGGAGCGTGGTGACTGTCTATTCTAAATATCTTAAAAGAACGGTGAAAAATAAGAACTGATGTGAAAAAAACACAGAGCAGTGGGAGGCACTTGCTTTACCAGCAAACACAAAAATGGTTGTACTAGCATTTATTTCAAGGCATGAAGATGCTGAACAGGAAACCTCTCTGCCCATATGACTTAGCCCCGAGTGTCCCAAATCCACGCATGCATATGGAATTGGGGTATAGAGTTCTGTAAGCCTTGTCCTTCCCTTTGGAAGAACTTCCTGGGTCTGTCTATTGGATAAAGGCATGGAATGCGTTTAGAGTTAATACATTTCTGCCTTAAATAAGCTCAGCCTTTTTCTGAAGTAATATTTCATCTTCTGCTGTATTAAATACAGCACTTACACCTCTGGAAGGGAAGTATAATTGAAAACAAAATGCCATTTTTCTAGAATTTAAAACGAATTTAACTGTATCAAAGAACAGAACAATGGTGCTGATGATCTTTCTGTTTGACAATATGAAGCTGAATAATCCTCTTATTTACTTCCATACTCTTCTTTGTCTGTCTCTCATGTTCCTGCAAGCATGCTCCTGAAAATCCGCATTTTTCAGCCTTTACCAAAAAAAACTAATCCTGAACATTTTCTTCTTACAGCTGTTTTGGGTGCGGATATCTGTTGGTTTAAAAAGAACAGCAGCAGTGCCTTGGTTGTGTTGGCCTCTGCCTTCTGTCTCTCTATTTTCCAAGGGCAGATTATACTAAAACAATAGTTGTTAGCCTGTGACAGAGATGTCTTTATGTGTCTGTTCTTTGTCTGTCGTTCCATCTGATGTTTGTGTCTCTTGGCTGTTCTTGCTTTCGTCTGTCCTCCTACACAGTATCTCCTCTCTCCCCACAGGACTATGAGAGTAAGCTGCAGGCCTTGCAGAAGCAGGTGGAGACACGATCCTTGGCAGCTGAAACAACAGAGGAGGAGGAAGAGGAGGAGGAAGGTGAGTTTGGAGCTGAGAACAATTTGGGCACGATCAAGCCTAAACAAACAGTTGCTGTAACATCTCCCGCAAAAGATAAAATGTAAATATTCTCAATGTGTAATTATCACAGTATAAAAATGAAAGTATGCATTCATGGAGTGTCCCACATAAATAGTTGATCCATATACTCAAAATCAATCAGTGTATAAACTAGCTTAGTTTAATTGTAAACTTTGATTTGGTTATTTTGAATTTGAAGGAATCTATCTCTTGGTACTAAAGGAGTTAAAGTATCTTAAATATACCTGTAGCTTTTGTTTCCTTGTTCTGATTTTTGAATTTACTTTTTTTTTTCTTCTCCTTCGTAGGAATTCTTATGTACTGTAACGTCCCTGAATAATTCAGTTTCTGGACGATAGACAGAGCTTTATTAGTTCTGGAATATTTGTTTTCATTCCTGTGTTTTAGCTCTTTTAACTGATTTAAAATAATAGAAATAGGATGTTTTTGTTTTCTCTGTCCTGTATCCTCTTACTTGGTAATTTAACTCTGGTGCCAGTAGTGAGAAAAATTGAATCTAGCCTTTCCTTGCTCAATAATGAAAGTGCAGATTTCTGTTTTATGTTTTTCTCTCCCAGAAAAGGTATTGAGAATTTGATGGCACAGCCAGCAGTAGTGTTTGGTATTGCATGTGATCTCTTAGTGCTCTCTTTCTTGCTTTACTCTTCCTAGTGACCTGGACACGACATGAATATGAGCTCGCACAGTGGGCTTTCAGGAAATGGAAGTTCCATCAGTTCACTTCACTGAGGGATCAGCTCTGGGGCAATGCTGTGTATCTGAAAGAAGCCAATGCGATCAGCGTAGAATTAAAGAAAAAGGTAGAAGCATGCAAAGTGTCTTTTTGAATTTTCTGATTCATTGCTGTTGACTGTGTAGCCCTCCTCTAAATGCTGAGCCTCTTACTGTCTTTAAATTCACGTGTTTTTAAATTATTGGTTTGGGCTTTAAAGGGTTCAGACAATCACAGACCTCACTGATTCAGACTTCTGGTTGAATGAGTATCTTATGCAAATTGGCTGGATATTCTTCTCTTCATTTCCCTTGTGCGGTTCCTGTCCATATCATAAACACATGTGCATGCAGATTTCCCCTGGGGCCTCGGTTTTCCTTTTCAGTTAAAACTTCATGTGGTCAATTATCTCCCTAAGAGAAAGTGAATGCTGCAGGGTATGCTAAGTCTGTAGTTTTCCAGACCTCTGCTAGCTTTGCTAAGCCTAAGCTATGTGTATTCAGCTGAAAAATGTTTTGTGCTATTTTAAAACAAACAAACGAAAAAACCACACGAGTTAACAACACTGAGTCTGCTCACAGAAGCAGAATTCAGACGTACATTGGGTTGGGGTATGCCTGTCCCCTTCGTGGTACTGATATCTGATTTCTCTGAACTGTTTTTTTATTCAGGTACAGTTTCAGTTTGTCCTGCTGACTGACACCCTCTACTCACCACTGCCACCAGAGCTTTTGCCCCCTGAGATGGAGAAGACCCAGGACAACAGGCCGTTTCCCCGGACAGTGGTAGCTGTGGAAGTCCAGGATCTGAAGAATGGAGCAACGCATTACTGGTCCTTAGAAAAACTCAAGTATGCAAATGTTACTGCAGAACAAACTTCTTTATTTCCAAAGAACTTCTCCAAAGAGCTTCACTGAAAAATTTCATCCCTTGCTGTTCATTCTCTGTTTTATTTGGCCTTGTGTCATCCCAACTGCCAGCTTTGCAGACAGTACAGTGTGTTATGAATGCCAGCTTCCTGCGAAAACTGCCTTAAATTACCGAGCAACATTGTATGATACAAGAAAAAAAAGATGCAAAAAACATTCAAAACTAGATGACAAAGAAGCATAGTTAGAAGTTTGAATTGAATCCAGCATAGATGTGCTCTTCAGAAAACACCTTGTTTCTTGGTTTGTGGGTGTAGCCTGCAAATATTTTTCCAAATCCCTTCCGTGTCGAGAGTTTCATACAAATCAGTGCTATGCATTGCTCTGTTTTGTATTTTTCTTTCCCTATTTGTAATTTGGTATAGGTGAATTTGGTATAGGTGAATTGTTGTTATTTTTCTTCCCCCTCTCTATATGAACTTCTGAATCCTTCTTTCTTCTGTGCAGGCAGCGGTTGGACCTGATGCGTGAGATGTACGACCGAGCTGGGGAAATGGCATCCAGCACACAGGATGAGAGTGAAAGCACAATGACAGGCAGTGACCCCTTTTATGATCGGTTTCACTGGTTCAAGCTGGTTGGAAGGTATGTGATGGTAACGTCAGCTCCTGGTACAGCTCTCCTCAGTGCGTGGATGGGATTAACTCTGAGTGTGGTTGTAAGCTGTAGAGCTGCTTAGTGTCTGTTGTGTGTTGTCTTGCAGGGATCTTTGACAGACTGAAGCCATTGTGAAGAGCAGAAACTGTTCTTTTTATGGTTGCCAGTCCTGGTATAATGTTGTGGAACCTGGTTTAACTGAACACTAAGAAAGCTCTAACCTTATTTTTTTAATAAAGTTGCCTAGCTAAGTGCTTTCTAAAGTCACTGGAGGAGTGCACAGAGAATATGAAGAACACTGGAACGGATGGGAAAAGTGGTCCAGCACCTTACTTATGCGTGTGGTTCAAATAATTTAAGTTCTTCTGAAACAAGGATTACCTAATGGCTGCATCTTGGCAATATTTCTACTTACAAAAGTCATGCATGTTGGAAATAAGAATTGTTCTGTTAAAGTGATGTGCTGTCAGTGTCTGTATGTTCACCCATCTTCGTATTCATTTCCTGTTTATTCAAACTCGGTCCAAGGATGCTCTTTTTCCTGGCTCTGTTAGCAATCCCGTTCCTTATGTTTCATTCCACTTGAGATGGTTTGAAGCCTTTGCTTGTTGTTCACCTGGGCTCCGTGCTGATGGCAACAGGCGACTGTTAAATGAAGCATTCTTCTTTCCCCTCACTGTGTTAATCAGTATTCCATTAACTGATATCTAGCTCCCCCATTTTCCATGGCTGCGTGAATGAGCGTCTTGCTGATCGCACGCCCTCCCCCACTTTCTCCACGGCTGACTCTGACATCACTGAACTGGCTGATGAGCAGCAGGATGAGATGGAGGACTTTGATGATGAGGCCTTTGTGGATGATACTGGCTCCGACGCTGGAACAGAGGAGGGATCAGACCTCTTCAATGATGGGCACGACCCGTTTTACGACCGATCCCCTTGGTTCATTTTAGTGGGAAGGTTGGTGAGGTTACTGTGAGAATGGCCAAAAGGGACCAGCTCTTGCTGTAGGGTGCAATGTCTATGCTTTTGTTGCATAGAATATCTGTGCAGGCAGCCAAAATAGCCATCTGCATAAATTGGAATTCCAAAAGAATGAATATAGTTTAACACCTAAGTTTTAAATTCTACTTTTGGAGGCCATGAGGGCCAAAGTAATAATTGAGAAAACAATATTTAGGTGTGACAGTGAATATATTTCTAGTTATAGACGAGTGTCACAGCATAGAATGAATGTGGTTTTGCTTCTGTATGGTATTTAAGCCTAGTTTACAGCAGTGCTCACTTTAGCCATTGCAAGATCATGAAGATGATGTTATACTGTCTGATTTTCTCATATAGAAGAGAATATCAGAATATGATGGGAACTCTTTAAGTCTAATTCATTACGTTTATTTTTGGAAAACTCAGCATCCTCTGTGTGGGAAGAGAAGATAGCATGTGGAGAAGGAAGAGTGGCTCTTTCTGGATGAGGAAGAGTATTCTTGGAGATTGATTCTCAGATTGTGTGACTCAGACTGTGTCGTGTAGCAAAAGGTTATCATCGTTATAAATCACTGGCTGCTGTGTTTATCAGCGTGTTCCCCATATGCTGTGCTTGAATTTCCACAACAAGGTGACCTAATGTATTTTAGACATCTTATTTGTTGGATTTTACTGATCCAGATCTGATTAAGGTGTTACCAGACCTCAATCTGTGCTGTGGACCAGAAATACAGCAAGTTACACTAAAAAAAAACCCCTCCTACTTCCTATTATTACTCCACAGATAGTCTTGATCAAATGAGTAGCAACATGTAAGTCATGGCAAGAAACTGAAAGATTGTATTTAGTGATTCTTCTCCCCTTTGTTCTGGTACTGCTCACCCAACTACATTTTTTCTTATTTGGTCACTGCGTGAGCCAGTCTGCTTGCACAGCAGCAAGGCAGGTGGTCAACACAGCTGTTGTATGGAATATGAGGGGGTGAAGCTGCATGGCAGGTGGAAGGGAGGAACAAAGGAGGAGGAACCAGAGCTTTTCTGTGATTGTAAGAAGGGAAGACCATCCTGGTTAGTAAAGTGGGATCCTTTATACGGTTTCTTCACATGCAGGAAACTCAGCTGCCTTATTTGTAAAAACGAGGGTCTGTTTGTTCTTCTGAAAAGAACAACAACAAAAGAAGGTTTTAGATTAGTTCAGCTGTATTGTGTAACCTCATTCTTTGTCTGTAGTGCATCTATTAACCAATTGCAATTAAAACTTGAAACTCTCTTGATCTTATTATCAAAACAAAAATTACGGTTGCTAGAGTTGCAAGCAGGCCTCTTTGATATCTGTGAATTTGCACCCGTATGTGCAATGTCTGATAATGTGTTTAATAGAACTTAATATTCAGGTTAATGTGATCCACAGGAGTCATTTTAGGAAAGCCCAAGGCTTGGTGGTGGCTGTCAGCTGGTTAAAGCACACGTGCACTGTTTGCAAAGGCGAGGCTGCTTTCTGTGACAGTGCTGGCATCCTGGGCGCCTTCTCTTGTGCGTGTTCTTTCAGCACAGGGCTGTCAGTGCTTGGGAAAAAGTTGGACTATTCATCTTTATTTCACAGACTTCAGGAAACACAAGCTGAGCAAAGCAGCGTACAGTGAGAGCAGTTGTGCTTGCTGGCAGTTACACAGCTTGCTTCCCATTTCCATGTGTTAAGAAGAATACTGAGCTCTGTCTGCAGACATTCATAAGAAGCTGCAGCAGTTAAGGGAACTGTCCTGAACCATGTAAGCTGCATGTGATAAAGGGCTTTGCTCGTGTTGTGGATCGTATTGGGGAGTGAAACTTGGTATTATTTTCGATCAGAGATTTTTTTTCCCATTTATTGGTTAGATCCCTTGTGTTTTCTGGTGTGCTGATTCTGTCAGCAGAAAGTTATTTAACCCCAATCAGCAGAAACGGTTTTGATTCCTCATTGTATTACAACATAAGGATTCTACTTTTGGACAGTGTATCTTAGAGTATCAGAGGATGTGTCCATCTAGGTAGCTATTCTCTTGAGCACATGATAGCATTCAGTTTATAACACAACCAACATTCTTGTGCTTTTGATTAACCATGTACTGTTTTACATGTTGTGCAACATGGGACAAAAGGAAGAAAATTTTAAATTTTCTATGTATCAGCAATAATGAGTTGAGGTCATGAAGGAGAGGATAAGGAGAGGTTGATCATGTAGTTGTCCAACTCCTTGGCCATCGTGGTATTTTTTTTCTTTTGTCTGCTTTGTGATGGCCTTTTATTTGTACTGTTATTAAGGAAGAAGGAAAAGGGGGTTAAAAAAAGAGCTGGTCCCTTTAGCCATCTCTTCTGGCATGTTGAGATGTTTTTAAGGTTGATTCCTTTTAGTTGTGTGGCATACCAAACATTTGCTTTTTTTAAGGGAGGTGGGAGAGGATGATGGGACACTTTAAATCTTGACCTGTTCATTTAAAATATCTGTTGTCATTTTGAGTTCTGTTGGTTTTGTTTGATTTCCAGTTTGTGTTTGTTAAATTTCATTTCTAGTTCTTGTTGTGAGTATGCTGTTTTACCTCACCAATTTTTCTGCTAATCCAACTCCCCCCTTTCAGTCTGCTGGGCTGAGGTGCAGGGGGGGACACGTGTATGTGCTGTCCCCCCAGGTGTGGGGAAGAGGAGAAGGATAACCTTAATATTTCATCCACTCCAACCTGATGCTGACTTAGGACAAAGCAAAAGGATTGGTACCCAAAGGAGCATTGCAGCATAGAATTGCTCTTTCCTCTGCACAGCACACGTATAGTGGTTCTCCATTCTACAGAAGATAGCATCAACTTCATCAAAGAGGAAGCCGAAGACTTTTTTTTTGCATTTTGTGCTTTCCTTTCTCTAAGTTAAAATGGTTGAAGTGAGCTGGGTTGCAGGATGGAAAGGCATTAAGGGCGATGAGAAATACTTCTTTCTTTGGCTTTCTGCTGAGGTGGCAAAAGTGCAGTTGTTAGGGAAGCTGAATGCTTGGCAGCTCTACGTCGGATAGCAGCTTCAGAACTTGAGTCATACGTTCAAAAATATGTTTTTTTTCATGCAGTTAAAATTTTTACTTTCTAATAGTTTGGCTTTGGAGTGGGAAGGCTTCTGTACGGAGTGTTGCTATTGGTTATGAAACTGTTGCTTGTGTACGTAGTGGTACAGTATTCCTTTCTGTAGGGAAAAATATCTGCTCTCCCTCCCTTCAAATGTGGTTTTCAAAGTCCTTTTTCCTGATGAGCCCAGAAATTGCCTTCCTGACAGCCATCCCTCGTCTGCTTTGAGTGAACAATTCTGGTCTGTTAGTGTGGAGCTGTGCTTTTTTGCATGGTGGGTGCTGCTTTTTCAAATGAGCACTGCCTGAAGTTTCAAAGCTGAAAACAAAAATGCTTCCATAGGGGGGAAAAAATAATCTGATTTTGTTACTTTGAAATTTAGTATCTCCTCCCTTCCCCTGCTTTTATCAGTGTTTACCTCACTTGGGAGCAGACTGAAAAGGAGTTAGATCCTAAACGTAGTCAAATGTTAAGTTGCAGTTTTTGTCATCGCATCACTTTAATTTGTTTTGGTTTGTTACTTGTAGAGCTTTATTAATCATTCTCTTTTCTGTTGCGTTTTGTCGCCATTTCATTTTCAGTAGCCTTATTTTGATCTCTTTGGTTCACAGCTGACACATTTGATTGCCTTGTCATTCCACGATGATTCATTCTGACATGGGAACCCATGGAGGAGCGCTTACCTTTCCTAGCTTTGGTTCTTAGCTGTGTGTCACTGAGCAACTGAACTGGGATGAATTTGGAACCAGTGCAGCTGGTGGCACCAAGCAGAGGCAGTGAACATTCTGAGCTCTCTGTCCTGCTTTGTCACGCAGGACTTTCCCAGTGAATGTTAAACCAGGAAATTTAGAAACCTGAGAAATTAATTATGCTTATTAAAGATTAATAGAAAGAAATGCAAGCAGCAAATCCAGCTAAACAAATCACTGAAGTTTCAGTATAATTTAATTTGCATAAATTTATAATAGTTCCCTACATAATTAGCCACTTTTAATTTAGTGACTGGTAAAACTATCGGTTAAACTTCTATCCATCTCAGCCATCTGAACTCTGAAGCTGCCCACTTAGATCACTTTTCCTCTTTTTTTCCCCTTGTTGAGAGCCATCTCTTAGCTGCCTTGCTGGGCTTCTCCACATTTCAAGTTTTGCTGGAGCTGATTGCTCTGAAGTGTGGTATTTTAAGAATTTCTGCAATTCACTGCAGGCCCTTAAAGTGACTTGATAATGTTAGTCTAATTTATAATTAAAATATATACAATAAAACATACTAACTGTACCAAAATAGACCCTTCTTGTAGTTACATGTGACTTTGCACGTTATTGTGCAGAGCAGGATAGTCCTGGCCTGGCCCCAAATGCTGTTATTCGTACCATAAACTGTAATTTCTAAATGGTTGCTATAGAGTAAGTTGTGTTTTTAAAGACAGAAATGTAGTATTTGAAAGATATTTATCAGTCTTCCACTATCCATGCACTCACTGAGCCTTCCAGGAAAGCTGGCAGATGAGTTTTTATTTACTGAGGAATTTCTGATTCCTCTGTGTACAATGTTATCTAATGTATGTAGAAAACATTCAGTCAAATTTCAGTTTTAAGGAGTGTTTTTAGCTGTTCACTAAAATATTTGAGGCTGTGTGCACACAGAACATAAATTCCCTTTTGATTTATTTAAAACTATGTTTATAGGCTGGAAAAATTAAATAAAAAATAATCTTTATATGTAGTAGTTCCTTAGACTTCAACCATCTTGTTTAACAGCTCTGTTTACAACCGTAGCCCATCTAAAATTACCTTTAAAAAGCCATCACCTTACATGTTCTCCTTCATATGTTTTGTAACTCACTAATACAAGCCCTCTGTCTCAGGTTTACTGTGTTCTAGAGTGTTCTGTGGCTTTGCTTAGCCTTGACACTGCCGAGGAGCCCTGTGTGGGCAATGCAGGTACAAGACCACAGTACAGGTCTGACAGATGGAACAAAGTAAACTGAAGATTTGAATGTCCCATTAGCCAAGCAAATGCTGCAGTCTGGTTTTGCAGACGATGGCCTCATGCTGTTTGTGTCTTCTTTCCTTCTTATTACCAGAGCATTTGTATACCTGAGCAATCTGCTGTACCCCGTGCCTCTGATTCACCGAGTAGCTGTTGTTAGTGAGAAGGGAGAAGTGCGAGGATTTCTGCGAGTAGCAGTGCAAGCTATAGCAGGTGAGGCACTCAGTGAGCTTTACTTTGCAGCTCTTTGGTGCACTGTGTGTGGCTGCAGCTTGAAGAAACATGCAGTCCAACATTCTCTCTTAATCTGAAATAATTTTAGTGTTTCAAAGAACACTTTGTTATTAAGTTGCTATTGAAACTTTTTCATCAGTGTGATCATGTGGACCAAGCACGGATAAACCTTGAAATAATGATACTGACCAGAGGCTTTGAACATGGTGATGGAATGCAACGCTGCTTTTTAAGTCAGCACAAAATAAAGTAAAGGTTCTTTTTTCTGACACCCAGTGTAAACAGCGCACGAGGGTATATGCAAGTCTGATAATTGTGGTGACTCGCAAAAAGTAAAATGTACTCTGTGTTTGTTCCCTTAAACCACCCTTCTGAGTAACGTGTAGAAGTGTACTCCATCGTTCTCTGGCTGAATAGCATGTAAAGAAGCTCCTGAACAATTTTCAGCCTAATATAAAGAAAATTCAGTAGCATTTTCCACTTCATTGCCTCACTGAAATATGCAGAGATTCAGAAAGTAGGTGACATGCTGGAGCAGGGTAGATATAGAGTTGTTAACTGCTCCGTATGATTGTGAGCTGCCACTGTGTGCATGCCAGAGCCTTCTAGGAGCCTGCTAATGGTGTTTTTTACCATGAAATCATCCAGTTGAGTTTTACTCTGGTAGTTATCCATGTTTCATCAATGCTGGTAAGACCACAGATGCTTCCCATCATTTGTCTTATTTAGCAGTGGCTACCTGCCAGCATTTCTTTATTTAGGTGTGGTAACCTTGGAAGTTTCTCTCTCCATGGGAATGTGTGATGAAATCTCAGACCTTGAAGATGCGTGAGAATCACTCTTAGCAGGGGCTAAAACAGCATCTGAAATAAAATCTGTGTTAATGTGTACAATGGACTTACTTCTAGTTCAGTTTGGTCTCCATGGCATTGTCATCCAAATAAATGGATGATATAAAGGGATACACTGTGACTGTTAGAAGTTGAGATGTGGGCATGTCTTGAAAAAGTGCTGTGGCTTTATTTGGTCTCTGGGTGAAGTTTCAAAGTACATTCTGAATCTTGAATTTCTCCTGTAAGAATGCATTTACTGTGGCTGGCATTTAACCAGACCTCCTTGTTGGTACTCTCCGTAAGGAGGGAGGCATGAAATGGACAGACCGTATGGACAAGAATCATCTTTCAAACTTGGATTATGTGTTTGTGGAGCTTTGCTAGTGTGATTGTATTACTTGTGACTAGATAATTTTAGATGGCAGTTTATGTCAATGCAGGTATACCCCCCATGAGGGTAATTGTATTATATGAAGTTCCACTGTAATACTTAGATGTAAACAAGTAGTAAGAATGAGTATTAAGGTCATTTTGCATTCAGAAGTTTCTATAAAGTTTAGGTATATTCACAGTTAAACCTGGTGGCTTGTCTTGATCTCCCACACTGAAGAGTTCTGTTATCAGTTGACTGCTTTTCTCTGCTCTTCACCCATTATGCTGTTTTCCTTTCTTCTTGATGTGTTTTAGCTGATGAAGAAGCCCCTGATTATGGATCTGGTATTCGACAGTCAGGCACAGCTAAAATTTCATTTGATAATGAATATTTCGATAAGGTAAGTGTTAAAATTGAATTAAGTGTCTTTGAGCCCAATAGCTTGTGCTTCTAACAGAAATATTAATTCACATAGGAAGAGGGACGTGGGAAAACAGGAAACTGCAGGCATCCGTTAAATGCAACTTAATTTTTCAGAGCGATTTTTCTGCTGTCGCAATGACTCGGTCTGGACTGTCATTGGAAGAATTGAGAATTGTGGAAGGGCAGGGACAGAATTCAGAGGTTGTCACTCCTCCAGAGGAGATAAACAGAATGAATGAACTGGGTAAGCAAGAGATTTGTAGTATGGTTTTTTTTTTGAGAAACCTATGGAGAATTTCGGACAATTTCAGTCAGTGCTAAAAAGGGATTTGAGATGTCCTTAAAAAGCATGATTAACTGGGAGGAGTTGTTACTAATGCATTGCATATGGCAGATGCCGAGTTCTGTGTTTGAAGAGCTATGCAGAAACAACTGTTTCTGTGTACTTTGGGCTTTTTGTTATCATAAAAAGCAATTTGAATGTGTGTTGGGAATACGTTGCTGCCTGAAGGAATATGTTTAAGGAAAAAAAACAACAAACCAGCAATCAAGACATAAAAAATCACCCAAACAAAGGTTTAACACTGTGGGCTGTTTGTTTCTTTCAGACTTGAAGTCATCCACTCTGCTGGATGGAAAAATGACTATGGAAGGGTTCACTGAAGAAATTGGTAATCACTTGAAGCTGGGAAGTGTGTTTACCTTCCGTGTGACAGTGCTGCAGGCCAGTGGCATCCTTCCTGAATATGCAGACATCTTCTGCCAGTTCAAGTAAGAATTTGCTCTTGTTTGCATTAGACAATGGATGGTTTAATAATGAGCACAAATAATAGCAGGCAACAAAGGATCTGATGGAGAGCTTTTCAAAGCAGTGGTGCAGCAGAGAAAAACACTGTTGGTTATCAGAATTCCTGCAGTGAACAATGCCTGCCTTGTGTTAGCGTGGTGTCAAGGAGTAAAGTCTTGCAGAAAGGAATTAAGAATCAGCAGGCTCTAGAATTGGCTTCTTCAGGGTTTTGTTCGAATTTTTCCTGTTTAATTAGCAATATTCAAATGCCCAGGCACAAAACATGTGTGACCCTTGAGTAAATCAATATCCCTCTGGTAAAAGTGCTGTTGGATTTAGTTTCTTAGGAAAGAGAATACAATTTAGGTGTCATAAAACCAAAACAGGAATGTTGGCCCCAGTGTATGAGAATTGTGGTCCCAAAGATTCTAAGCTATACGTGACTGTCATGTAAACCTCTGGCAGACTAAATGCATGAGTTTCCTTTTGCTGTTGGGTTCACAGCACAGCAGTCTCCATTAAGCTGTTTTTTTGTGTGTGTTTTTCATTTTTATGAAGCTTTTTACACCGTCATGATGAAGCTTTCTCAACAGAACCTCTCAAAAACAACGGTCGAGGGACTCCGCTTGGTTTTTACCACGTTCAGAACGTAAGTACAACTTCTAATGAATGGTAAGTGATTGTTATAGCACTGGGGAGTTGTGGGTATCCTTCCTGTTAAGCTCCTGAGAGGTGTGTAGGAAGGAGGGAGAAGGGGAATTGCTAAGAATGGACAATAGGAGGAGTGATCAGATGGATGATGTAATCCCCAGTGGAGAACAAATCACAGAATGATTCCACGTGGAAGATTTAACTCCACTGTTTCGCATCTATTTCCTGCCTTTAAAATCTCTGTTCCCATTCCAGGATGTTCAATGAAAGCAGTCTAGAATTCAGGAAGTAAAATATGTATGAATAGCAGTTCTCATGATCTCAAATGAACAGAATAAATCTGTTGTCATGAACTGTGGAATTGCTTTGCTGCATGTGGCTTCCTCTCCTGCTGCTTGAAATGCATCACACTGAGGCTTTCAGTTTTTCCTTTACTAGAGATAAGAATTAATCCTTAGAACTAAAAGGAATGCAGCTACTTTTTTTTTTTCTTGGGAGCTCCTCTAAACAGTGTGAAGACTGTAGACTACTAAAATTGTAATTCACATTTTTTTAGGCTTCTTTTCTGTTTGCTTCAATTTCTCTCCTTATTTGTTTAACAGATTGCTGTGGAAGTGACAGAATCATTTGTGGAGTACATCAAAACAAAGCCTATTGTTTTTGAAGTCTTTGGACATTACCAGCAGCATCCTCTACATCTGCAAGGACAGGATCTCAATAGGTATTGTTTGCTGTTCTGACATAAAGGCTGATGTGATACAGTTCAGGTTACTTCTGCAGTTGAGGCAGTTTTTCATACTCCTGAAGTTATATAGCTGCACCCTCCTGAGTAGGGATCCTGACTAACGTACGTGTGCTGGCAGAGGCCTGCTTACCCAGCAGAGTGTATTTTGTTAATGAGTGATGGGATTGTCTTACCATGTCAAACACAGGTTGCTGCTCTGCTGATTCTGCAGCATCCACCCTACAAATGCTGGCAGTAGCGTATTGCTGGAGGGTTTAGATCCCACTTCTGGGTAAATCCTCGTGCTCTGCAAGGTGCAGTATTCCCTCAGAACAAGTGGCCTGATGCATAAAGAGAGGATGAAAAAGGAAGAGAGGCAAAATTAAGGGGAAAACAAAAGGCTTTCAATGTATTCCCCGTTTTGGAAGTACTGAGCATTTGAAGGCTTGGATTTGGGGAAAGGACCTCTAACCCCTTCTTCAGCAGCTTAAGGGAGAGGAGGCTGGTTGGATTACTTGATCTGGTAAGCACTCCTGCTGAAAGCAGCAGCTGTGAAGAGGCAGCATGTGCAAGTTTTAAAAGAAAATGTCAGTAGAGGCTTGTGCCCTTTCCTGGAGGTATTTTGGGAAATGTCTGTTACCCAGTTATATTTTCGGTGCAGGATGATGGTGGGTAGTTGGAGAGTATAAATAAATATTTTTCCTCAATAGCTAGAATTAATTAAGTTGCAGTAGAAAAAGGATTTCTATTAGTCAGAGAAGTGTGCTGAGTCCACTTGTTGTGGCTGGTGATATTTTCATAGGATTGTGGGAGTCCTTTTGAAGACATATATTAGTGTGTTTGTGTGTGTCTGCATCTATTTGTATATAACTTTGCTTAGCTGCCTCTAAAAATTCTGTCTTCATTTCTCTATAGCCCTCCACAGCCTTCTCGAAGATTCTTTCCTCCCCCTATGCCACTCTCAAAGCCAGGTGAGAACAGTTCTCCAATTCTGTGCATCACAAGTTTGTTTGACATGGAAGATGAAGGTTTAGTATACATGTGAGCCAATGAGGGCACCAAGAAAAGAAATGGAGTGAACTCTGCAAAGGGCATCGGATCCATCTTTGTCTATCTTCCTCTTTATATATTCAACCTCTTCTTGCAGTAAATGCACCTTGGGTCATTAAAGGGCAGAATTCCCCTCGTGAGGTGTTAAAAGTATTCCATGAGTTCTGGCTGTGACTCTCCATGTGCTTACTGAGCACTTGCCTGGAAATATTCATTAATCACTGTCTTTCTGCTGCATGACGTTTTTGATCACTGAGCCAGTCTTGTTGAGATTATTCTTGTTTTTCTTTGCTTTATTTTAACAATGCATGCTGAACTCTTCTGGTGTTTTTTTTTTTCCCCTATTTCATCCCATACTCCTTCTGCTTACTCTCACCTGCATGTTTCTACCATCGCTGTTTTTGTGTGTTCCATTCCCTTTGCAGACCACGAAAGAAAAATTGAATTAATTAGGTATCTTATGTCTGGCTATGTAAACGTGCATGTGCTGAACACACTATCCGAGCATGCCAACGTGCTTGCATCCTCTGCTGTGGCTGCTTTCCAGGATGGGGCTGACCAGCTGCCACCCTTTCTGTTTCTGCCTGTTCCCAGCTGTCAGAGTGAGCGGGCTCCTAAACGAGATGGTTAGTAGCCAAATGTGATCTATGGTAGAGGTAGAAGTAGTCTTAAAACGTGCTTCAGGAGTCCTTGTTCCTTACTGTTATCTTGAAGTATTCATGGGTGTAGAACTGCTGTGCCTACAGATACAGAAAGATGATGCCATGTTTATGTTTATGTTTATGCTAGAGAAAATAAGCTCCTGGATGCTAAGTATCACAGATCCTTGTGTGGCCCTGTGTTTGTTCCCCAAAATCTCGCAGACCTCTGTTTTCATATTTTCTGTAAATAATCTTGAAATGTTCTTGATGAGAAAAAGCAGATATAGAGTCGTTCTGCTGCGTTCTGTAGAGGCTTCTGTTTTGTTCATCATGTTTTGTTACTACTTGATGTGTACAGCACTGATCCTTTCTTTCTCTGCATTAAGTCTTATTCAGCTTCTTTATGTGCACATTTTATCACAGCTGGTACAGGAGACAAGCACTTGACAACATAAAAATGAAGACCACATTTTTAAGTTCTTAATTTACTTTCTTCTGTGAGGAAGGGAAAATGCATTCTATGTTTAAAAATACATATATATATATTGCAGATTAAGAGACCAATTCTAAACTCCAAACTGCTAAACAGTAAAGTAGTGGTGGACATCTGAGGAAACTGCTTTCCCGTGAAGCTGCAGAGACTTCTGTTACATACTTCTACCAGTTTTTTTCCTCTGTACACTCCTGTTTTATTGTGATCTTTATTTTTGTTTTTAATCTAAGTTACCTGTATTGATACCAGCGCTTTGAGGAATAGTGCTGTAAACCTTATCATCATGGAACAAAACGTGATCTGAATGTGTGCACAGAATACATGGTCTTTATAAACCATTCTTTTGTCTTTAAGTGCCTGCTACAAAGCTGAATACTATGAGCAAACCCAGCTTGGGCCACAGCGTGAGCAAATACGACCTTCTTGTCTGGTTTGAGATCAGTGAATTGGAGCCAACTGGCGAGTAAGTCAAGCATTAATCATTCTTGTTTTAAGAACAGTGGTTAATAGGAAGTAGATCTTTTACCTTGTTCTGTTCAGACAATGGTCTTTGGATGGAGTTGGAATTAGATGATCTTTGAGGTTCCTTTCAACCCTAGTCATTCTATGACAAGGTGGCTGTTTAGCAATCATCATCTGAAGGTAGTCTGGCTTATGTTATTCTGCTCTCTGTCTAGTTTGTATCAAAGGGGTATAAATTCTGCTGACGTTTGTCCTCATTGGAAAGGATTGAAGAGACAGAATTGGCATTCCTTAACACTTGAAGTGTCTCCATTTGAAAGCCCAATGGCATCCCCACCGGGGCTGGGGACATTTTTTTCCTGTGCTTAGGCCATGAATTTAAATTACTTGCATACTTGGCTAGGTGACTTCTGTAGTGTATTTTATGTTCTGCAAAGCAGGAAGTCTTGCCCTGACAAGTCTTCAGACATGATGTTGAGAAGTGAGTTCTGCAGAGTTTTGCAGAAGATTGGACGTGAGGGAATGGTCTGGTGTTTCTGCAGAGGAGGTTTAGATTGGATGTCGTGGAGAATTCCTTCACACTGAGTGGTGGTTAAGCACTGGTACTGCTGCCCAGGGCAGTGATGGAGTCCCCATCTCTGGATGTATGTAGGTCACTCTGAAAGTTGTCTCCTACTTTCCTCCTTCCATGGAAACTACAGCAGATAAGAAGAGCACAATAACACTATTTGACAGAGCAAATTCTTGGTTACAAAACACTATTTTTCAATATAGTCACCACCATTAGCCGTGCATTTTTATCAGCAATGAACAAATCCATTGTAAATGTTGGTAGAAGCAGTCTTATTTCTTCAGATATTATACAGAGAGGTAAATGTTGGTGGCAGAATACGGTTTAATGTTGCAGTGCTATTATGTTTTTCCTGCATGCTGATTTCTGTGTCTCACACAGGTATATTCCTGCTATTGTGGACCACACTGGATGCCTGCCTTGTCAGGGGACATTCCTGCTTCACCAGGTACTCATGAAGGCTGTAGAGCAGCAAGTTTCATCTCTGCAGGGGATTAGAGTGCTAATGATAGATTTTTGCCTCTCTCATGTCTTTTCCTTTCCTATAAGCTGTCTAATGATAGCTGTAGGGTCAGTCATCTTTCAGTCTGAATTTAGTCTGTAAGCTTTGAGCACTGTGGAGAATGTTTGACCTTTGGTATAGTGCTGTTTCCTGTGATTATCAGCATGCATTCTAATCATGAAAGATGAAAGTCTTTTTAAAACACCAGCTGAGTGCCTCTGGTGTTCTCTAACTTCTGCACCAGGATCACTGAAAGAGTGTGTGGACTCAGATTTCATTGTTTTTTCTTACTGCATGTGGCTGTAAGACAGATCTGTACAATGACCACATCTCAGTGCATTTTAAATGCTTGTAATTAATCACAAATACTACTGCAATAATCCTTAATAATAATTTGTTTTTAGCTGGATTTGAAAGACAGTCCTACTTCAATATTGTTCATAGCCTTACTTTGTTTTTCTCTACTTTCAAATTCCCAGTTCACTTTCAGAGGCTTTACTGTTCACTTTGCAAACTTACTCTCTTACATGGATAGGAACAGCTCTTTAGTTGGGAATAATGGCTGCATTCCAGTTATTTCCTTAATAAGACAAAGAATTTTGATCTATGTGTTTTTACAGTGTAAGTGCAAAAGAGATGATAGTGTGTGGGGTGGGAATACTTCCCCAGAGTAAACTTTTGGTTTTGAACTCTACCAGGGAATCCAACGCAGAATCACAGTCACCATCATCCATGAGAAAGGCAATGAGTTGCACTGGAAAGATGTACGAGAGCTGGTTGTTGGTAAGTGTGTTCTGCTTTGTTTGTTGTTGTGTGAAGAAGAAAAAGTACTAATGGTAATTTCTCTTCAAGTCTTTCTCTGCTGTCTTAATCAATATTGGATATGAGAGCAGTTGGATTTTGAAAAAGATCTGGAAGAAAAACTTAAATCTTGCAGTTTTCACTTAAAGCTGCTGCTTTAATCACAGTGTGAAATGAAAATTGAAAAAGCAGTTTATTTCTGTATTTCAAGATTTAATTGATTTCCTTCTTCTCCCCTTATCAGGACGTATAAGAAACAAAGCAGAAGTCGATGAAGCTGCTGTGGATGCTATTTTGTCTTTGAATATTATCTCTGCAAAATACCTGAAGTCATCTCACAGCTCCAATAGGTGAGCATGTAAAGAGACTCTTTTTAGCAGGAATCTAAAATTCCTTTGATGTGAAGTATTGGTAGAATGTTTGAAAAACTTTGAATGGTGCTAAAGGTTAAGTGCAGAATTCCGTGGGCGCAGGGTATGCAGGCAGAGAATGAGTGTTACAGTAGTTTCTAGATAACGCTGGAGTCTGTTCCTCTGCATAAAAGATACTCTGATAATGCATTTGGATGACTTTCCACTTGTAAGGACAGTTATGGGAGGAAGGAAAGGCTTTAAGAGAGTCTCAGAATTCAGGCCAGAACTTGTAAAGTGATATTAGGGCTTGTTGCTAGAATAAAGCATTGTAAGAAGGGCCATTTCAGAGGGATACATTTATGGCTGAATGAATACCTGTGTTAGGTCTGAAACAAGCATATGATGAACTAAGCCAGAGCCATGCTTTTTAAATTAAACTTCACAGTTTGTGGATTTATAAAGATGTTTCACAAATCGACTCAAGTTCTGATAAGATGTATCTGCACTGCAATCATTCGGGCAACAGTAGGGCTCCACTCTGAGATGCTTTAGGCTGCATGTATCTCCTCATTTGAGTTCATTTCTGTGAAGATCAGCCAGACTCCTTGTTGTTTTGCTCCAGCCTCTGTAATGAGGGGCAGTGAAGCAAAGTGCTGTGTTGCTGGCAAAGTCTGTTCCTGCTCTGACATAACCACGTCACTTGACGGCTCTGTGGCTCCACTGGGCTGATGCAAAGCAGGAATATCTCTGGATATCTGAGCCTTTCTGGAGGGAAAGGGATTGTCTGGGAGCTTGTCTCTGCAGCAGCTGTTGAATTCTGGAGGCAGTGTGCTTCCAGGCACTGAAACAGCCTCTAATTTCCTTTTCCATCAGAGGCTTGGACTTTGAAATATCACTGCAATATTAAAGGTGGGATCAGGATGCTGCTCCTGCCAACTGAAAGTTTTCCTGCCACCTAGTGTCTATAAACATGTACAGTGATAGTATTTTTAGCAGTTATCTCTTGCCTCCTTGTAGAATAGGATATTCTACTTCTAGAGTATTTGAAATAATGAATCAGGATCTGTGGGACTTGAGGATTTCCAGTCTGATACAACAAGGTCTGCAGTGGAGAAGTGCAGTACCTTCTGTACTCTAGCAGTTTGAAGAAACTCCTGTATAGCTCTGTAGTTTCTTATCAGGAAGGGTGCTTGGATGGATGAAGGATGAGGGTTGGTGTAATGAGACTGCTGACCATCTCTTAATGAAGTGCCAAAGTTTAACATGGGAGATGAGTGCATGGCAGGGTGATGGTGTGCGATTGAAGCTCTGATCCATGTCTCATGTTTGTTCATTGTCCACAGACTTGTTTTATGGTGGTGTTTTTATTTTGCCAGCCTTTTCTGTTCCTCTCGGCTGTTGCTTCTCTGTTCTGCTTTTGGCTGCACTAACCAAAGCTCTTTCTGTGTTTTTACAGGCTCTTTCTTGATAAGGATATGCCTAGGTATTTTCTGTTTGCTTCCCTTGCACATAAAGATTCTTGAAAATAGAATGCTTTATGTATTTTGTATTGCTGCCATCTGCCTTTTAGTTAATGAATTTTGTTAGCACACAGCTTAGCTCTTGTAGAAGTAGTACATCTCTTCCTGCCCCGTGTCAGGGATTTGTTCAGGTAAAATTCAGTAAGGAATGTGTGAAGGTAAATTTTCCTTCACACACAATAGGCAGCTTCCATTGTTGAGTCTCTCTGATCCTCAGAATGCACTGTCACAATGCAGTCTCTATTCATAGTCCTTCCTAGTTCTCTTCCTTTGTTCTGTATCAGAACTAGATTTGGAATCTTACTGTCTTTGACTCTGTAATGCTTGCCATCTTTGAAGCACCAAGCAAGAGCTGAATGATTAAGCTACTTGAAATTCCAGCTCACAGTTGCACTGAACAAAAAGCTGTGGCTGCCATGTGACTGGCATTCAGCCTCCACTCTTAGGCTGGATTTGCATATGAAATTTAACCATGTGGTTGCTACTTCTTAGTTTACCAGTTGGCAAAGAAGCGAGGCGTTCAGTGGCTGCTCAGACTGGATTCCTCTTTCACCTTCCAGGTTTTCCTGTGGATCACAGGAAAAGCTGCACAGTCTTGGGCAATGTGTGGTCTGCTTTCTGTGTTCTGCCTGTTTGAAAAAGAGAAGGCTTAAGTCTTCAGTGCTTTCAATTAACCGCCTCTAACTAACACCAAAATCCACTTAGTAATCATTTCTGACTGTACATTGGTGCCTTCCACGTGTTTCTCCTGTTTCCTGTGCTTTGCTTTTTCTGTGCTCTATTTTACTCTTGTTTGCTCACTTCCATTTCTTTGTCTCTCTTTGTGACTATTCTAGCAAGTTCTGGTTTAGACAGACAGGCCTGTGTATATTTGTCTTCCTGGCTAGACAAAATCCAATAGAGTATCTGTCTCAAAGCTGTGTTTGACTCCAACTTGACACTGATCCAGAAAGCACCATTTTGCTAAGGGAGCATTTAGTTCTGTGCTGCTTAATGTTTATGCCTCCTTTGGTGTAAAAAACTGGAAAAGTTGCTGTATCCCAGAATGCTGAGACTTTTTTCCAAAGGAACATAAATAAAGTCAGACTCTACCTAGAGAAAGGAGAGAACTTGTTTTCTGAAGTTAGAGAGTACAGTTTTGACACCATAAATTAGGACTTAGTGTCCTTTGTGTGATGCTGTCTCTCACTTTTTACCTGAACAATTGGCCGTTCCTGATTGCTGCAGTAGGACTGTGGGAGGCTTCAGCTCCTTTCTTGCCATGTACAAATCAAAGAGATTTCTTTAAAAAGTTAGTGTTAGATCTGCAAGTTTTCACTTGAAGCTTTTAGGGAAATGGAAAGAAATCTTTATTGCTTGAGTTCAGGCTTATCCCTGCCTGTCAGTCATTCTGATTAACTATCAGAAACTACTGGTTTTATATCACTGTCACAAAGATGTCTTCTGTTACTAAATGCCAGTCTTATGATATAGGGTTAAGGATTTAGAATGAATAAATCTTCCCATACACTTTGGAGATCCATCTGGACTGAATTACACCTGAATCAAAAGAGAGAAGCTGTGTTTGGAAGCAGTCTTCCCTGTGGTGTTATGATGGCTTTTGTTCTCGTCCACATTCCTGCTTTTGTCTTTTATGTGAGCCTTTCTGAAAACAAGCAATGGCATCTTATGCCAAACTATTTGCAGTAGAAGTAAGTAAACTTGAGGAAGAAGAAAGATGTTTTTGCTTCAAGTATTCGTCGTGCAAACCACTGTGGTCAGTAACAGTTGCATTGGATGGTGGTGAGGAAGAGCTTTGCCTGGCCAGTGAGAGGGAGGGGTGCAGAGGAACTCTGAGCTCTTGCTGTGCTTTTTTTGCAGGACGTTTTATCGGTTTGAAGCAGTTTGGGATAGCTCCTTGCATAACTCCCTTCTCCTCAATCGAGTGACCCCATATGGAGAGAAGATATATATGACCCTTTCTGCTTACCTGGAGGTTAGAATTCTGTTTTTTCTTATCTGGTTGTTGCTCATACAGAACCACTGCAAACAGCAGGCAGCGTGTGTCTGAGAAGTGAAATCCTGAAGCCAGTGGAAGTCTGTATTCATTTTCTGAGGACAAAGTGGAAAAACCTATTCACAATTAACATATTGAAGAGCATTACTGCCTCACAACCAATGTCAAGTGAAACTGATGACCTTGTTACCTTTCTGTGCCTCATTTTATCTATCTTTCTATCTCAAAATCTTTTGATGTACTACCAGTGTTGCAGACAGTGGCCCAGCTCTTGGTTTTGGGAGATGCTGCTGTTCTCTGTAGTACAATGATTTCACCCACAAGATGCATCACGATGATTTTAACAATTCTCTTTCATGAAGGCACAAACCAAAAACCCCACCAACACCCAAACAAGAATTATTTCAAGAAGCTGTCCTACCAAAAAAAAGAAGTTGTATAACATAGCATAGTTGCCTGCAGACACTCATTCACTCTTTTTTTCTTTTTCTTAGCTTGACCACTGCATTCAGCCTGCTGTTATAACAAAGGATGTTTGTATGGTCTTTTACTCACGTGATGCCAAGATCTCCCCACCACGATCGCTGCGCAATCTCTTTGGCAGTGGCTACTCCAAATCTCCAGATTCGTAAGTGGAGTTGGTACTTCTGCTGTTTGGTGTTAGAAGCTATGGAAAGGGCACGGTGAGAAGGTCTGCTTTAGCTAATATTTCTCCAGAATGGCTTTGAGCTTTTTTTTCTTGCTTGCTTTTCAGAGAAACTCGTGGCTTATCTCTCTAATGGCCCTATTTCAACCTTTTCTCTGAACAGCTGGGACGAGAGATTCATATTTCAAGCCTGCATTGGTGATCCTGATGCCAACCTGAAAGCTGCTGTTGCAATGGCAGCTTTTAGTGGGGGGGGGGAGGTTAAAAAAAAAAAAGAAATTGAGGAAAATGCCATGTTTAGAGATCTTGCAGCATGTCCTGGCTATTTTATGCTAGATGGATGTAGTTGTAGAAAGGATTTATGCTTCAGCTTCTGTTTGGGGACACAAAATTAAAGCTCCTCCATGTTATTTCTGAAGATAGTATTTTTTTTTCTCCTCTGTTTTCTTGTGAACAGCAATCGAGTGACTGGGATCTATGAACTAAGTTTATGCAAAATGGCAGACACAGGAAGTCCCGGTAAGCAGTTACCAGGAGTATCTGTATTAAAGTACTGTGCACTGAAATATTAGAGTAAAAATCCTAGGCAGAACAGAGTAAATCCTTGTCTTGATGAGAAGCAGTTTCTGCATTTCATAGGAGTGCCAGAACGTTAATGGCAGTAAATAGAAAATACCTGAATGAAGCGAGGAAGCCAAATCAGACACAACCTCTCCGATGTGTGGTTGCTGTAAAGAACGTATCGCCTTGTGCGTTTCCTGCCAGACAGCAGCAGGTTGATTCATTAGATTGCTAATTGACAAGTGCTTCTCGGTGCTTTCCCTCAGACTGTGTTTTTAAAAAGAGTGCTATTGTTTCTGACTGCTCAGGAATGCAGAGGAGGAGGAGGAAAGTCCTGGATACGTCTGTGGCATACGTGCGTGGAGAAGAGAACCTGGCAGGCTGGAGGCCTCGAGGAGACAGCCTCATCCTGGAGCATCAGTGGGAACTGGAGAAACTAGAGCTGCTGCACGAGGTATGTGAAGAGAGCAAGGGAAAGCAAAAGGGCAGCTGTACGTCTGAGTTTGCATTTAGTGTAGATACTGCCTGACCTTCTGAGCTGAGCAGTTCTCAAATCTGAGTTTATTCTCAAAGTTGAGATTTAAATATGTTCTCTTACAGAGTAGATGGAAATGTTTACTTGTGTGAGTCTTACGAGAACACAGGAACTAAGTGGCTGTAAACTAGAGAGTGTCCTGAGTCAGATGATACTCATTTCTTTTCTTTTCTAGGTGGAAAAAACCCGGCATTTCCTTTTGCTTCGTGAAAAGCTTGGTGACAGCATCCCCAAGTCTCTGAGCGACTCATTGTCTCCCAGTCTGAGCAGTGGAACCCTCAGCACCTCCACCAGCATTTCCTCGCAGATTTCCACCACAACATTTGAGAGTGCTGTGACGCCCAGTGAGAGCAGTGGCTATGACTCTACAGACATAGAGAGTCTGGTGGATCGTGAGAAGGAGCTGGCCACCAAGGTATAACACAGGAGAAAAGCAGCAAGGGTCTGAGCGGAGTTAGTAAAGATGATGACCTATTATGAACTTCCCAGATAGTGGTGAATTTCATTAGGTGTTTTATAAACTAAACTTTACAATTTTAATAAGAGAAGTGGTTATTCCCCTCTTCTGTTTTTTTTTATTTGTTTTTTTTCCATGGCACTTTAGAATTTCCATATTTTCTCAGGGGTTGCCAAGTGTGTTACAGGTTGCCTTGCTTTAATTTCCCTGAAAAGGTAAAATTAAAATCATTTTCTTTGTTTCTCCTCCTCTCAGTGTCTACAGCTTCTGACTCACACTTTCAATCGGGAGTTTAACCAAGTGTACAACAGCATCAGTGACTGTAAGGTAAGGACTTCATGCAGTACAACACTATATTTGTACAACAATGACAGTGTATTTGTAGATTGTAGAATCTGTTGATAGTATGAAAAGACCGAAGAGTTTGTATTACCTCCCTTTAAATGCAGTCTGTTTGAAGTACTTGGCTGTTCAGAATCAGCTTCCAGAGACTACTGAAGGAATTTAGAGGTGATGTGAATTTGAACAGTGGTAGAGCTTCTGGCTCATCAGCAGACTGGAGGTGCTTGTATAACTGTGTCCACTTTCCCTATGCAAAAGAATGTATCACTCTTAAGAATACAAGTAGGAATATGTATCACCATGTGGCAAACCAGGCAATCTGATATTCTGTTGAGAAAGTCAAAGTGTGAATAAGTAGAAATTAATAGCAAGCAGCGTGTATGAAACTGTTGTATCTTAACCCACAGATGGTTTTGTTCCAGTTTTATGCAAGAATTTTTTTTACCACTGAGTAGGGAAATACTTTTCTATTGCCTGAGCCTTCTGCACATGAAATACTGCATTCTAGCTAGGACTGAACACCAGCTGCCAAAAACCCCCTCTGATATTTTGTGTGTATGTGTGCCTGTAGTTGTCTGATATTTCTCCCATTGGACGGGACCCATCAGTGTCAAGTTTCAGCAGTGCTACCCTCACACCTTCCTCTACCTGTCCTTCTCTGGTGGATTCAAGATGCAATTCAGTTGATCAGAAGTAAGTACAGGTTGTGGATAATAGCAATACTTCTAATTTTCCCCGTTCCTCCTTTTCTCTGCGTTAGATATCTCTCTGTGTAGAACTGTGCCTCACCATTTGCAGTTGCTGCACACTTATTCTCTTCCCACTGTTTTCTACTTCTGAGATGCTTTTATCCTTTGTGGTGAAAGAACAGTCAGATGTGTTGTTCTGAGGACCAGTGCATCTTTAACAAGTGGAGTCCACAAGTTTTTTTGTTGGTTTTTTTTTTTAGAGGAAAATCTTTTTCTCAGCTGTATCCATAGATGATCTTTCTGATTAAATTGGAAATAACCAGCTTTGTTCTTTCTCTGTTTAACATCCGTGAGGAGCACTAAATACTGCACCAAACTGTAGTAAGATGTGTTTCTGTATTGTGACTGCATTTTACAAGAGAAACAAGGCAGAAGTAGCTGGAAACTGCTTACTAACAGTTACTACTTATCTCCCACAACAGTTTATTCCACACATTTGAAGGAAGTTATGTTTAATATTGTACAGAAGGCTCCCTGTGTCATAGAAAAAACTTGGACTGAAAGATGAAGCTCGCAAGACAGGCTAGGTTGTAGATGTGCTTTAAGTTCTGTTCTCAGATTCAGTTGCTTTCTGTGATTTACTTTTTTTTTCTTTTCATTTAAAGGACACCAGAAGCAAATTCTCGTGCCTCCAGTCCCTGTCCTGAGATGGAGCAGTTCCAGATAATTCCTGCAGTAGAAAGTTCCTATCTTGCCAGAGCTGGAAAGAATGAATTCCTGAATCTTGTTCCTGATATTGAGGAAATCAGACCTGGGTATACTTTCAGTTCTAGTGGCTGTTATCTTGGCTTCCTGCATGTTGTCAAAGGGCTTTTGAGACTTATAGGTTCCATACTCCATTTGAGGGTGGTAAACAGGTGATAGCAAGTAGGGGGCAGGATTGCTGAGAGTTGTACTGATACTTGATGTCTGCAGAATTCATGCACCTACTAAATCACTTTCTAATGACCTAAATGTGATGCTTTTTTACCATCAAAACTATGGCAAAGAGTCACTGAAATAGAGATCTCTATGGGTCCTTTCTCTGTCAGACTTCTAAATGGTTGTGATGACAAAATTCGGATTGCTATAGAAGAACTTTTTTTTGTCTGCAACAGCATTAAGAAAATATTAGGGACCAAATCCTGTGTGTGTTTGCAGTTCATAGAAGTACTCAGTAGCTGCCTTCCATAGGAGAAAATGTATTCGTATTTATCTGTGGTGTTTTTTCTTTGCTTTGTTTGTTTTGCCAGCTCTGTGGTGTCAAAGAAAGGATACCTCCACTTCAAAGAGCCACTCTCCAGCTCCTGGGCCAAGCACTTTGTGGTGGTCCGCCGTCCCTATGTTTTTATTTACAACAGTGACAAAGATCCTGTGGAAAGAGGGCTCATAAACTTATCCACGGCTCAGGTGGAATACAGCGAGGATCAGCAGGCAATGGTGAAGGTCAGTGTGAGAGCAGCTGTTTTATATGTAGAGCAGGATCATCACTACAGGTAGTAGCACATCCATAATATCCTGTTGGTCGTTTCTTTTCATTGTTTTAGGGATTTGTCTGGCGTCTGATATTTCTGCCCGTGTGGTTCCCAATTTATTCAAGGTTCTTATGATTTGGACATAATTCTGTGAGAGACCGAGGCTAACTGCTGTGCTGGATTGTGTTTGGTTTTATGAGCATTTGTTGGTACTATGGCCCTGTTTGGTTTTTATATATTTTTTTTAAACAGGCATCCTGTTTGTGTTCAAAAAAAAGTCACATTAACTTTACCAGTCCATCCCAGCAGCTCTTAAAGTCCACGTGCTTGAATAAAAACTTTTGTGGATGATGTCCCATTTGTCTGACTAGTAATATCCTGGAAATGACCGTGAAACTTAAAGGAAAGACCTTTAAGTCTTGTGTACTTTAGAAAACGGATGCAGCACTCTCTTCTTCTTCCCCTCTGAAGGAGGGTGGCTGTAAGCTTCGTTATTTTAATTGTCCTCAATATTGCAGACACCCAACACCTTTGGTGTATGCACAAAGCATCGTGGGGTCCTGCTCCAGGCCATCAATGACAAAGACATGAATGACTGGTTATACGCCTTCAACCCACTTCTTGCTGGCACGATACGGTAAGAGGCAATTCCTGGGCAAAGAGCTTAAAAACAGTCATGAAAAAACAGGCAGTTTGTCACAGAATTGAGCCTTGTTTTGAAGAAATGGACAGGATGGTTGAGCTGAAGGAAAGCAAAGGAGTGTGTAATAAAAAAGAAAAATTGAAGGAATGCAGTGGTTGCTGCTTTGGCTTGTGACGTCATTAATATACAATTTGAGGATGCTGTGCAGTGTCAAATGTTACTTAGCAGTGCCTTAAAAGAACCCATCACCCTTCAAAGGAGCACAGCAGAAGAGTGAACAGTCTTTCTGGTTACAGCTCACAATAGATTTTACTTTCTAAACTTGTAAAGTAAGCTAGGACTGTATTAAAGGGCAGAACAAAAGATGGAGAAACTCTGGGGAAGGGAGAAAAGACCACATCCAGAATTCAACAAATGGTTTCTCACTTCTTTCTTGTGCAGGTCCAAACTGGCTCGAAGACGGACAGGCCAGCTGAAGTACTGAGTCCATGTAATGTTCTCATCTGTTCTCCCTAACTCCTATTCTGATAGATAAAAGTGTTACCTCTCATTTTCTCTTTGTGATTCTTGCCAGTTTCTCTTGTATGTAATCCTGTGGCTTAACAACCCCTACCTCCCCACCTCCTCCATTGCATTTTCTAGATATTCTAACACTACTTTGTTTCTTTTCACTTGTGCGGAGAATCCTACTAGTAGCATGTGGCCAAACAAAAAGGAGGAAAAAAAACCTGATTATGCACGACTCTAAAAAGAAAAAAAAGATTTTTTCCTACAACAATTGTTTTTTCATTCCAGCTGACCTTCTGGTGTCTGTCCCACTGTACATTATTGTCTGTCTAGAATGCTACAGGTTTTTCATTTGATTCGTGACTTGGCAATAGTCATTGGTTCCCTCAGGGCAAAGTGCTATGCCAGGGAAAGATCGTTCCTTCTATATAGACGTTACCCAGTCAGGAACTGCAATAGCTCCTCAGGCTTTCCAGCCTCTGAATTAAAACTCCTTTGAAAGCTGACATTGGATAAATCTATCTGGGCAGACTGGACTTTGGACTTGGTGCAAGATTTTGAGCTCTCTGGGTCTAACGGGCTGGAAAGAGGTAGGGAAGGAATCTGGAGGGGCTGGCTGCAGAGATCTGCCTTTCCATGTTCACTGTGGGGATGCAGGTGAGCAGTGCTTGCCTCTAACTCTTCCACTAAAATGTAATGCTGTTCTGCCTTTGAGCTGAGCAGACAGAACTGCTAATGTGAGGAAAACCAAAATGTATTATGTTAGGTACAATCCCTGAAGTTTTAGATGCTCACCCTCACGTTTGTGGAAGGAACCAGTGTGATGGTTTCCTGGAGCCTTTTCAGGAGATCACCACAGGAGGGCAACATCTCCCCTTTCTGCTTTTAGTTCAGCCTTTCTAGTTCTTGTAGTGACAGTTCTCACCTCTTGGAAGACATTTACACTTGTAATCGGTTTGTTAGGGAAGACAGATCTTTGGCATCATTCTGAAATGCCTGCTTTATGCATGGATCCTGTACCTGCAATATTGAGCTGCCATCCCATCTGTCAATGGGGAAAAGTATCCACTGTCTACAGAATGCTTTCTGGACCTTGCACTTGCAGTATTCTTCAGGGAACAGCAGGACACTTTCACTTCCTTTTGGAATAATTGTTGAATGTCTCTTAATCTTCCTGCTGCAATTCTCTTTAGCTAACCTCCTTGGTTATTAATTTCAGACATTATCCTTCCTTGAGGGCAGATCAGGTGGACTTTGATCCTGGTCAGTGTGGTGTGACAGTTTGCTGCTTGGAGATCAGCTGGGTGGTGTTGGTTCTTGACCTGCGATGGAAGTTCTCTCTGGGGCAAAGCTTTGCTCCTTGCATCAGGAAAGGAAGGCAGAACGAGTTTCCTTTCTGAGAAGTGAACTCATCTTTCTTACTTAGGTTTTTAAGGAGGTTGGAAGCTTTTGTTTGTTTTATTTTCTGTGTTTCAGATTGTTACGCTGTTGTTTTGTGACTTGGGTGCTGGTAGGGCTAGCTGTGATCCTGGGCAAACGTACCAGGATTTCACCCTGAGGTTCCTTACTCTCTTGGGAAGAGATGAAAGGGTTTTGTGCCACCATCGCAGTAGGTTCATCTAAGGGAAACAAAATTGTGACGCCAGCTCAGGAAGGTCATTTTAATTCAGATCACTCATCGTCAGGTCACCCCATGCCTTGGGACTTCTGTGGCCAAAAGTATATGTGGGACTGCCATCAGCTGAGCAGTTTTTTTATTAGCTTTGTGGGTTTTTCATTCAAATAAAATGCAATGCATACTGGGACCTCCTAAACGCATAGCTGGAAAGGGGAGATGGAGTCTGACACTTGCTAGGGCATATCCTTATTTATCAGTGTAGTATTCAGATTAAATACTGTGCTCATCCCCTCTCCTAAGGTCCTTGGATTTATTTCAGAACTGGAACCCAGAGCGTGTGTGTGTCCTGGGGACCCAGGAATTAGCAGAGAGGATTTTTTTTGTTTCGGTTTTGTCTTGTTGAGTGTGTGCGACTCTCAGTACAGTGGTGATATCCTTTGTTTTGCAATGGACGATGTGCACTTGCAGTGTGTGCATACTAAGACTGCTGGTGCTGGCAGTGGGCTCGTCGAGCTGCAGCTAAGCTGATTTCAAGATGTATTGAGAATGAAGTAGGTTGATTTTAAGCACTAAGTTGTTACTGCCGCCATCCCCACTGTTTGCCATGGGGGTGGAACCAGTCTGAGGAGGACTCGCAATCTCAGTGGTGGCATTATGTGACGCACTGACAGATGAAAAGTTTTGTTTTTATCTTTTCTTTTTTAATCTAGAAGAAAACTAGTTTTCTAAGTCTTTGCTTTGGATAAACCAGAAGATGAACTGTGGGTAAATAAACATTGCATAGAAACACGATTAAAGGATTGTCCTTTGAAAACAGGAAGAGACAGTTGCTTATTTTATACCGAGCTGGAGATGTGACAGTTGTATTACATAAGTGTCTTACAACAGAAGATTCCAAGCAGCTTCTTATGGCTTGGTGTTTGTGTGGATAACAGGTCATCAGGAGAACAGAATTCTATTTTTAATCATCAGTATCTCTTAGAGCTGCATAATCTTGACAAAATCAATTCTCATGTGGAGTTCAAGTGGGCATTACTGTTTCTGGGTCTGACCTAAATACAGATTTTCACCAATTACTGAGACATTGGTTTCCCTACTTAAAACTGGACGACTGAAATGAACTGAAATTTTCTTTAAAATGAAAGCAAAGCAAAAAAAAAAAGAAAAGCAAATTTCTATTCACTTCAAAGCTCTTTTGATTTAACCCAACAATTAAAAGAGTTCTGTTTAGGAACAGAACAAGGATGGAAAAACGTGCCAAGCTGCCTTCTGCTGACGTTTAAAAACCCACTCTTGGTTACCTGCTGTGTGCTTGTGGAGTCCTGGAGTCAGACAGCTCTCAGGACCCAACCACTGGGCACCAGGCGTCCTGCTGGGGGTCTGCCAGCCCACTGAGCAGAAACACTGCTGGTAAAACTGACAGGCGGTTCTTAAACAGAATTGGGAGTGAAACTGTGCCACAGTTTGGGTTTTTTTATGTTCCCGAGTAAATGGGAGGAGAAATGGCCCAATGAAAATCGTGTCATTTGTAATAAGAGCTTCCTGGGTGTTTTTAAACTAAACCTTCTATACTGTATTTTGGAAATGCACTTTAAGTACCTGTTGAAAGAAGATTCCTATGTTCTGGGATGCAGAAGGGAAGGTAATATTATTTCCAAACCACTGAGAACTTTTTTTCCTTTTGCTAGTGTGTAATAGTTCTGATTACCGATCAGCAAGATATTTCAAAGCAAAGACTTTACCTTTTGCTGCTTGTTATCTAATTTACAGGGATTTAATTTTATGTAATGTATTGTATATTTATACATCTGTAATTAATTGCACATTAGATAAGAAAGAGGATTAGCTTTAGAATAACACCTGTTGGTACTCTCCGATAACTAATATACTGCCTATGCATTGCATCTTTCTGGTACTCTTACACAGCCTTAGTTTGTGTTAGTTTATACTGTGGTGGTGTTTTTGTTGAACATGCAGTTGTTCACCTGCTGCTCGAAGGAAGGATACTAATGCTGCTCTGGAACGGTTTGCTGAATGTACTTGAAAATGGATCTCTAACGTGTGCGTTGCATCTCTCCATTGTGGTCAATAACACCAATACGTGGTCTGAACTGTACTGTATGTAGCAGGAATGTATTAATTTTGTGCTTCTTTGTTTAAAAACATCAGGTGTTCAAGAACAGGATGGAGATTTTTTTTGTTCAGAAGGCCATTTATGCGTTCTAAGTGTTTGAAATCAAAACTAGTCCAACTCAAACCAGATGGTTGTGTCCAATGTCAATTGGAACAGTTTTTAATTAACAGGAGCAGACACATGATCAGAAAATGGAGGGTGTGGGGTCCTCACTCTCCAATTTGTACTGTTGCCAAGGCAATGGTCTGGTCCTGAGCAGTGCTGAGCTCCCTCTCGCTCACGTTGATATAGAGTAGAAGCAGAGGGAGTCGTGGATGATCAGCGCTTCCCAGGATCAGCTCTTAATTTCCCACTCTGCTTGTTCATACTTCACGTGCAGTCCATTAATGTTCTTGACTTTGGACATCAGACATGCTGTTGCACTGAAATACATCTTTTCTTTTAATTGCGGTTCTCATTTCTGTTCAACCTCTCTGTACACAAGGTATACAAGGTATACGCTGTATAAGTGGCCTTCTTGAACAAATCTCTTTGCAAACTGATTTCATCCCAGCGAAGGAGTGCATCAGCAACACTGTACATTAATTTCAGATTTTCATTTTCATGTTTTATTTTGTAAATATCTGATGTTTGGAGCTTGAGTATACAAAATGTAAATATAGTTCATGTATTTGTACTAATTCTGATCCATTTGCTGTATAGCCTTAGGTGTGCAATGCAGATATTATCTAACTGTGTATGGTAACCTTGCACCACTGAATTGTTAGTGAACGAGGTGAAACAATAAAGGTACAACCAGTGCATTAGCAGGTATAACGTGTGCTCCTTTTAGTATGATTTAATTACTAGTATTTAATGCATTGTTTTCAGAGTCTGTCCTGAGCAAGCTTATGCTTCTGTGGAAAGAAATTTGCCTCAGCTGTTCTTGAGAAAGATAAAAGGCTCTCCTTATCTTTTGTTATTCTCTTCCTTCTGCTACGCTCTGCAGCATTTCTAAGCAGCATTTAGATCATCAAAATCATCAGAAGACGATTTTGCTCAACAGCTAAAAAAGGCTGTAGAAGTGCAGCCGAAGCTGAACGTGCTTATCTGAGGGTGCTGGCCGAGGACAACGGGAGTGAGTGAACTCTAGCCACCGACCCCCAACAGCCGCGTGTGAGCTGCCAGCTGTGGGGAATGGAGACTCCCAGCAGCCTTGTTGTCCTTGTTGGGAAGTGAGCCTTGTGCTTAACTGGGGCTGCTGTGGGGGGGCGGCTGCTGTGGGGGGGGCTGCATCCCCTCCACTCCTGGCGTGCAGCTGCAGGCACCATTCCTCAGCTCTTTCACCTCCTTTCTCACTGTGGCGCTTGCGGCACCGATGGCAGCGGGGTGCAGTTTTCCAACCCTGGTGTTTTGGCAATTAATGCTGCTTAATTAAAGGAGAGAGGAAACGAGAGTTGCACAGCACCCAGCCGGCCGCGAGGCCCCGGGGTGGGTGTCGGCTGCCAACGTCTGTGGGTTTGTACGCGGCCGGGTGCCTGAAGCGCAAATCTGCGGCCTGCCGCCCTCCTGCGGGTTTGGCTGCTGAGGAAATCTCAGTAGCGCCAGCAGCCCTCGGCCGCGCCGCCCTTTTCCTGCCCCCGGTGGCTGCCGTGCCGGCGCGGGGTTTCGGAAGCCCGCCCGCCCGTCCGTCCCGGGGCTCAGGCCCGGCGCCGTGCCGCACACCCGTCCCTTTAAGGATGCGAGGCGCTCGGCGCCGCGCTCCTCAGGCCTGAGCCGTCGCCCCATGGGCGGGAAGGCAACGCTGGGCGGGATCAGCCAATGAGCGCGCTCCGTTCCGCCCCCCCCCGTCCCGTGCGGCTGAGGGAGAGAGCGGCGCGCGCCGCGGCCGTCCGTCAGTGAGAGCCGTCCGTGAGAACCGGCAGCGCCGCCGCCATGGCCGAGTGAGAGCGGGCGTCGGGCTGCCCTCGGGCGGGGCCGGGAGGGGACTCTGCTCGGCCGCCTTCAGAGATGGCCGTGAAGCAGGGATGCGCTGCCCATCTCAGGGAGCGGCCCCATCGAGAGGTGCCCGGGTGGCGTTCCGCCCTGCGTTTGAGGCGGCGCTCCCGGCCTCCCCCAGCCGCCAGGCCGCTCCGTGTGGAACGCGGCAGCTCCGGGATGGGGGCGGGCGGGAAGGGCGCAGCCGGGCGCTGGGTCGGAGCGCGCTGACGGCCCGCGGCCTCTGCCTGGGTTCGGGTCCCCGAGAAGGACCCGAATTGCCCATGGTGGGCCCGGGGCTGCCGGTTCCCGAGGGCGGAACGGTCCAGCAGGGCATGGTGCGCCCCGGGTCGCTGCTGATGCCTGACGTTTGTGGTTCTCTCCCTTCCCAGAGCTGATATTGCGTTGATCGGACTGGCCGTGATGGGTCAGAACCTGATTCTGAACATGAATGATCACGGCTTTGTGGTAAGTGAAAGAAAACGTCGTGCAGGAGGGCTGGCTCAGTAGCTCCTAGGGCCGGAGCTCAGCGTTTTGTTTTTCTTCTTGTGATGCCCTGATGGGTGGTGTTTCCTCCTTTTAATCCTAACCCCGGCTGCCCTTTGTTCTGTTCCCAGAGAAAAGTAGCCTGGCGTGCCTGTACTTGGTCAGCTACCTGGTGCCTTGGCTGTCTATAAGTGTGCTTTTTCTCTTAAGTTTGCTTTGGGCTTGGCCGTTAACAAAAGGCTCCCAAGGCTCCTGCAATGACATGCTACAGGGCTCGTGTCTACTCAGCATGTTTGGGTGGAAGCAGGAGAACTCATTATGTTGAACCTTATTTATATAACTTTTAGCCTGAGCTCAAGTAACCTTTCAGCTCTCAGCTTTAATAACTTGTATTCCTGCTCCTCCAGGTCTGTGCTTTTAACAGGACGGTTTCCAAAGTGGACGACTTTCTGGCCAATGAGGCCAAAGGGACCAAAGTGATCGGTGCTCACAGCCTGGAGGAGATGGTCTCAAAGCTAAAGAAGCCTCGTCGCATCATCTTGCTGGTGAAGGCTGGAAGTGCAGTGGATGATTTCATCAATAAATTAGTGAGGCAGATGTTCTTTCTAACTGTGCATTCTTTGTCTCTTGGGGAAGTTTCTTCTGGAAGATCTCAATTGTTTGTCAGTACTGAATCTTTGAGTCCAGTGAAAAAGACAAAACGCAGATATTTATTTTTTTTTGTAGGTGCCATTGTTGGAGACTGGGGACATCATAATTGATGGGGGGAATTCTGAGTATAGAGATACCACGGTAAGCCTGTTTTCTGCCCAAAATGGGTGGATAAAATACAATTCCCGTGATATTTTCTCCTCTGATCATGAGAACAATTGGCCAATATGATGCTGTCTTCTCTCAGGAAGGCCAAACTGAATTCTTATTGCAGAACTAGATTATAAATTCTATTAAAACTTAGTTTTTGCAATAGTTAGGGACTGTTCTGTAAGTATGCCTTATAGAAATTTCCCAGATCATCAAAGATTATTGACACCTTTTAAGAGGTTGAAGGATCTTAGAAAACATCTTGTTACAGGCTTACAGAGTTTTCAGGGAGATGAGAACATCTGAGGACATTTACTGAATTGGTTGGAAACTGCCAGGGTTTTGAAATGCAGGTTCTGAAGTGGTGTGGACAATATTGCAGTTGTTATTGTGTCTCTGTCCTATGGGGCTGCTGGAAAATAAGACAGAATAGCTGCTTTGGCTGTCTTGGTAACAAAAACAGAACAGCAGTGATCTGGTTCTTCAATCTTTTTTTTTTTAAAGGCCTGTGTATGAGCAGACTTCTCAGTGTGTCTGGGATGACTGTGTTAACAGTGTTGCAAGTAATTTAGTATTTCTGCACATTAGAGAGGTATTGCTGTCAGCCCTTCTGCTTTTGCATTCTTATCTTGGATAAGCAACTTGGGCAATCAGAGTGAAAAACAGTTCTTAAATGAGGTTTAATACTTGGAGAGCTTGCAGCTCTGCTTATGAATCTCAGGCTGTTTCTCTCCCACTGGAAGGGAATTAATTGCCCATAGTTATCCACGATTGCACCTTTGCCCCATAATGAAATCAGCAACTTGAGCTTATTCTGCCTCCCTCATATCTCAGCACACAGCATGTGTCACCTGGCACTTAATCCTGAGGTGTTTCCCGCCTCAGTACTGCACTTTTCTACCTGTTGATTATGAGGAATTTGTCCTCTCTGCATGAGTCTTTTGCAAGGGTAAAAAAAAGAGCAGCACTGAGTTTCCTAACATTCACTTTTGAGTATGCAGGAGCATTGTCTGAAGTTGTTTGGCAGCATGTCTAAAGCAGAACTGAAATCCTGACTTCAGGTCCGGTTTACTAACTCGTGTTTGTAAGACTCTGGTATTAAAAGATATGTAAATGACTTTTTGTTGTTGTTCCAGAGGCGCTGTAAGGAGCTGCTGCAAAAAGGCCTCTTATTTGTTGGCAGTGGTGTTAGTGGTGGAGAGGAGGGGGCCAGGTATGGTCCATCACTCATGCCAGGAGGATCCAAAGAAGCCTGGTAAGCGTGAGCTGGAAGATTCCTCAGGCTGGTCTGCAACAATCATTTGGTTCATGTTGAGAGCTGAAGGAAGGAGGGGAGTGGGTGTGGAGAGAACAAGATATGTTGCCTTCTTACTTCCTCAAGGTTCAGGATTTCTCAACATAGCTGGAGTCACCAGCCAGTGCCAGATTTTTTATGGCAAGAAAAATGGAGACAGGTTTTTCTTTCTGGAATTCACAGGCAAAAGTAATATCCACAGAAATCTAGAGGGAGAAATAACATGGGAGGGAGAAAGTACTTCTTTTTGAGTTTAAGCAAAATTCCTGTGTGTTGTCTATGAACCTCTGGATCACCCTGGATTTTTTTTTTTTGTAACTATTGCACAGAATATGACTTTGCTTCAGCTCTGCCATTGATGCTCTTGGAGTACGAACTTATATCATAACCCACCTTAGTTTCCCCATCTGTAAAATTGAGCAAGTAACATTTGAACACCTTCAGGTCCCTTAAGCTTGACTGAGCAATACTTTTAAATGTGTAACATGGCCTGTCCCCTTTTCTTGCAAGCAGTATCAAGTTCTGGGGAAAACATACTTTCTGTTTTGTGACAGTGCTGTGTGATGTGTTGTCGCCTGCCTGCATGCCCTCATCCCATTCCTACAGAAGGATGGATTTTTCTCCTGTGGTGGTTGTATCCTCTTCTTACCTCTGAGCCATGTTATTTCTATCCACAGGCCACATATCAAGACCATATTTCAAAGCATTGCTGCTAAAGTGGGATCTGGGGAACCTTGTTGTGACTGGGTAAATATTAATTTGATACTGCCCTTAGCCTGTGTAGGTAGCTCATGCATAACATGCAGTTAAAGCTATCCACATCACTACGTGGGTTTTCTGGCTGCCTGCCTTCATTTCAGATTGACCAACTCTAAGATGTTACCCAATCTAATGGGAGAAAAATGATTTATGGTTGGGTCGTGTGGTGGGGAATCAAAGCAGATCTGTGATTACACTGACAGTGTTTTGTGTTAGCTCTGGGTTTGTGAAGCTTTATTGGAGAGAAGGAATCCATGGATAGGTATTAAATACTGAGAATGGTGACAGCAGCATTACTGATGGCTTGTTTTTTCTGTTCTGTATTTCTTGACAGGTAGGAGAGGAGGGTGCCGGGCACTTTGTGAAGATGGTGCACAATGGGATTGAATATGGAGACATGCAGTTGATCTGTGAGGCCTACCACCTGATGAGGGATGTTGTGGGCATGGGCCACGAGGAGATGTCGCAGGTGATTTGCAGTTTTTTAGTGTCTTCCCTTCCTGAGCCATG